GTATAATATTGGCCATATTATATTTACATTACCACAGTGAGATGATTTTAGTCTCTTGAACAACATTAGCTAATTGGTATTTACTAACTAATCTTAAATGACTGTTCAGTACAGAAATGAAGCCCAACAATCATGTTTTACAGTCCCGTGGTCTCAGCCTCAGATACTCAACTAATCAAAGTGATGTCATGACAAAACTGAATGACCAAAAAAACACTTTTTTCTCCTTCATTTCTGTCAAACAATGCTGTATGACACGTTTCTCCCGGTTAGTATCATGGTTGCTAGGCAACCTGAACAGCGCGACGAAGGTTAGACCGTCCCATTTCACAAGCCTCTCACTTCCGCACTTCTCGTACTTATAGTACGCACCGTACGTAATATGCGTAGTGCGCGTACTTCAAGCGTGTGGTCTCTTAATTGGGACACAGCCAACGACCACCAGCAGAAGGAGCAAGGAAGGACACAGTCAGATATGTTTGTGATGATGTTCATGGTGGTGGATCAGTGATGGTGACCTGACAGTGAAGCTGTGGATCCCCCTGGTGGACATACAACTTTTCTCTCTCTGTCTTTATTTAGAAGTTTTTGCCACGATAAAAGGGAAAGGGCTTACACCAGTGTATTTTTTTGTGTTTTTATGCTTTAAATGATGCTGAATGACTGTTTAATATGATGCTGCTGTGTGTCTGCTCTGAGCTGCCGCATTTGTTTCACACAGTCAGTCTTTTCTGGAGAAATGGAGAATAGAATAGAAAAAAACCTTTATTATCCCACGGATGGGAAATTTGGGGGTCACACGGCTCTTATAGCAAGGGGAATATAAAATATGAAAGGAAGACACAACGTGGTCCTATATACATAAGCAACTGAAGTTCGTATATACAGGTAACAATGTACAGAAATATGTATAGAAAAATTTTACAGAGATATGTATAAAATGTGCAGTGAACAAACAAGCTGATTAGTAAGATAACCAAAAGGATGTTAAACTGTGTTATAGAGTCTGACAACTGCTGGTAAGAATGACCTGCGGTAGCGCTCCTTCTTACACTGTGAGTGTAAAAGTCTACAGCTGAACGAGCTGCTCAGTGCTCGTACAGTCTCATGCAGGGGGTAGGAGGTGTTGTCCATGATGGATGTTAGCTTAGATAACATCCTCTCCTCCCCAACCTGCTCGATGGACTTCAGCGGACAGTCCGGGATAGGACTGTTTAATGTTATTACACAGATTTTATATGAGCTGAAACTGTGATGTAGATTGAATTTAGAGCAGGGTTTAGTTGCTTTTTATGTGTATCAGGTATATGTTATCCTGATGCACATATAAGTCTTCATCTTCATGCTTCAGGATTATTTATCTGGAAAAATAACTCAGTGGAAAAAATTCATGATAGATTACATGAATGTTGTATTTACCTTTGGCTATTACTGAGTGTATAATTGTTTTTTACTGTCTCTGTATCCTGTATATACAATTAATTACACATGCACAAAGCATGAACTGTTTTTATGGGAAAATTACAAGACCAAGCAATATGAAAAAAGTGTACTTAAACAGTGTGACATTATATATATATATAAATATATATATATAATGTTAGTAATAATAGATATTATTTACTAACATTTGTATATTAGTTATATATTTAATAAATAATTTATAAAGGGGAATCGTAATTTTTTTATATGTTTGATATTAATAAAGTTTAAAACATTAAAAAATAAAAGAGCGGGAAGTGGTGGGCGGGCCCAGTTTGGAAAACACGAATGCGCATGTGCAGTGGGTCAACCAGAACAAGCCCAGTAGGAAGAAGACAAAAGTTCGGCCGCCATTTTGGGGCAGGAGAAGCGGTTCTGCCGAAGGCGGAGTGGGACGGCGCTAACACCGTCTCCGAGTGGAAGCTGTGTTTGGAACACGGAGCTAAAGAAGGAGCTGGAGCCGAGAGGAGGAGCGAGATGAGCGGGCCAGAGATGAGTTAAAGGTCTGAATAACCTCCAGTGTGTTACAGAACGGGACACAGAGGACTGCAGTCCGAGCAGAGAGGTCAGAGGGCGGCAGGCTGGCCTCCAGGTAAGCTCGTTAGTGTGGAGTTACTCCTCTTCCTCACAACTCCCCCCTCACGCCCCTCTTTCTCCTCCCCCTTTCTCTACTCCTCACCTGAAGTCGCCTCCACCTCTTCAGTGAAGTGTCCCTCTGTCGGCTTCACTTTAACTTTATCCAGTTAAGTACCTCTTGAAGGTGGAATTACTCAGCTTTTCATTTTTGTAAAAGTTGTAGCACCTGTGACTGATTTACGGTGGTTTTTAACTTATTTCCAGCTTCTGTCCCTTAGGATTTTGGTGGTTTAAAGTGGTATTACTGAACTGTCAGTGTAGGGTTATGAAGGGTTGTTGCTGATGATCCTTAGGCATTTTAATGTGGTATTAGTAATCCTTTTTAGTGTTTTGTTTTACATAACGCTTGCTGGGTTTGAATCATATTCTGTTTCTCCTCAGAGCTGCTCTATCACTTCCGCCTTAAAATCTACGGCCACACAGCCAGAAGAAGACCTGGAGCAGATTCTCAGAGGTGGGTCTGAACAGGGTGATGGTGCATGTGTTCTCTCAGGTGTTCCCCATGACCCCTGACCGGGTCTGATGTGATTCCTTTTGTAGGTGCCCTAATGGTCCGAGGTCGGGATCTGAGCGACTTTGAGCGCGGCGTCATTGTTGGGGCTCGGATGGCGGGAGTTTCAGTCACCAAGGCCGCCCAGCTTACCGGCGTCTCCATAGGAACAGTGACAAAAGTGACAGCGGCGTACAAGACGCAGGGGAAATCATCGGTGAGCCGTGTGGGGAACTGCGGGCGGCAGCGCTCATTAGGCGAGCACGACGCACGGGCACTGGTGCAGTTTGTGAAGAAGAACCGCAGCGCCACGCTGGCTCAGGTGACGGAGAGAGTGAACGCTGGGCGGAGCCACAGCGTGTCAGCCAGAACGGTCCGCCGCCAGCTACACAGGGAGGGCTACTATAAGGAGGTTACGGTGCCCAGAGCCAGCGCCACAGGAAGCCCAGAGGATTGTGGGAATCGTGAAGCAGAGGGACACTCGGATGACGTTGCCACCACCGTCGATCAGACAAGCTGAACCACATCACAGAGCTAAAAACTGACAGACTTATCGTGTGACAGGAAGAGGAAGTGTGGCCTTAGCTTTAGCATGTCGAGGAACATGTGAGCAGACCCTGGACAGGAGGTGAGAGTGTTAGTTGCACTCTGCTGATCTGACACAAACAACTTCTAGAATGATCCAGTTCGATCTGGTCTTAGTGCTCCTCCCGAGGACTGAAACACACCTGTTCACCTGCGTACACACACATGCTCTAAACATCCAGCTGTGCTGGGGTTAAAGGTCAAACCAAAGAACCACCAGCCTGTGAATCACCCAGTCATGCGAACCATTGATCAATCACAGTGATCAATCCCTCACGCGTGGAAGAAATTCAGTGAAATGCATCTTTATGTTTCAAAATAAAACTTTATTTAAACAAGTTTCCTCTGTCTGTCAGCCTCATAAAAGGTGGTATTACTCATCAGTTGACTTTAATGAAAGTGACTTTTGTAGCCTGATTGGCTGTTAAGGTTGTATTAGACACTTTCACCTTCTTGCATGGAATTGAAGGCTTAAAAGATGATCAGCTGTGAAGATGGAGACACTTTTAATCTGTTCTGTTACTCTGAAGGCTTTTTTAAGATGACCAAGCTAAAGAGGCCACCTGAGCAGGACTTCAGGAACCATGTGAATCACCTCACCATTTAGAGCAATGTCTCAGCCAATGAAAGAAGAAAACATGTTCGATCACTTTGACCTCTCTTGATTGATTTGTGTTTAGTGTAATTAATTTCTTGTTGAGAAAAAGTAAGAGTTCTTCAAAAATGTACAACATCAAAATGCAACTGTTAAAAGAGGAACTATTTATTACGTTTTTAATGTTATAGCAGTTAAAATAGTAAAAACACAATGCAAATATTTACAAACATTAATATTAAAGGACGATATATAACAGAATGAAGTAAAAATAATTATAAAATATAAAATAAATATCAATTTATTTGCTGTTTGCATAGTTGTTTTTTATTGAGGGAACAGGAAACCACGTGGCGTAATCACGCAGAGTGACGTCGCTACGCTGTGGTTGTTGTTATTTAGCAGTTATCCTGCTGAGTGTCCAGCCCAAAGAGAAAGATGTTTTTGAATTAGTTGGTTAAGCTTAACCGGACGGTGGGACTCCTCCAGCTTCTCCGCCTGCCGCCCCATGAGGCGTCCGGATAATTCAGCGACATTTAACGGCGTAGAGTCCGCCAGCAGCTAGCTTAGCTCACCGGCTAGCCCCGGCTACTTAGCCGCTTAGCTGGCTCCCCCGGCGGACTTCGGGTTGGTAAATTTATTCAGTTTTTAATTATTTAACGGGTCCACAGTTGTGGTAGCTTTCTGCAGTGAACACCTTACAAATCATTAACTTGTTTTTGAAAATTCAGCGCAAAAATAACCCACCAGCTGTGATAGACGGGGCAAATATATTTATTTCTATAGTTAAAGGAAGATCTGAGGGAGAACTGCCACAAATTCTGGTGATAATATATATAACGGTCATTTACCTTTTTATTTAAACCTGTACGTATAAAACATCAAATGTCCCAGTGTTTGTGAAAACACAGAGTTGTGTTTTGTGGCAGGGAACGATGGTGAGGTTAAAACCCCGAAATTTTCAAATGGACTTTGGTCTGCCCAGCATCGATTTTACAGTAGTTTTATATCGTGTTTACTCGCATATGTTTAAAATTCACTGGCAGGCATAATTTCCGGGATGTTTTTTGATTTGATCTGAACGTTGGTGGTTAGAGTTCCCAGCCCCAGAAGCCCAATATGCGGCCATTCAGAAATGCATGTAAGACCTTTTCTTTCTTTTTTTTTTCTTTTTTTTTTTAAGCAGCTATATTATTCTGAACAGATTAGTTTTGTCTGATTTATTTGAGGGCTCAGACTACAGATTAATACACATAATAACTACGCTTCAAATTTCCTGAAATCCTTTGTGCATGGTGTAGCAGTCCTTACCCATATTTATAGAAAAAGTTAGTTTTTAATTACTGTAGGATTCTTTAAGTTAATATTTTTTTAATTTTTTTTTAAAGCTGCAGGACAGTCATGTGACAAAATTGCTTTAAATCTACTGTTATTTTATTTTATTTTTTTATACACTGAGTTTGATGAAATTCTGCATAACTTGTCCAGTTTTTTAATGGAATTTGGCATAGCGTCCCCTGTACATCCAATTCTCTGGATACAGCAGCTCTATGAGGCGGCCCCTGTACTTTTGCCTGATTGTTGTTTTTTTTTGTATGGTCTGAGGTATTCGTGTCATTACAGGATGGCATCTTCCTTCAAGATTCCCAAGAAGAAACATCCTCATGGCTCTGACTCCAGTCCCCTAGACATGCAGTCACCTCTGTCCCGCCTCCAGACCTCCACCCCTCGACTAAAGGTGGTATTCCTAAATCTTCCTCGTGTCATCCGTTTGTCCCCGTGAAGTGATATTCCATTCCTTTAATCCTCTGATTAACCGTTTAAGGTGGTATTAATGATCTGACAGGTTAATTGTTTGGGATATTTAAAGATGGTGTCTGTAAACTTTCTCATGTTTAGTTGATTAGTCATATGAAAAGCTAATCTACAGTTTTGAGTACTATTAAGGGTTCTTAAGGTAGAATAATTGAAAATTCTGCTTTTAAGGTGACTGATTGGAAGGAGTTGCCCTTATATAGAGTGTGCAGAGTGCATATCAGGATACTTCCACTCCTTCCACTCAGTCACCTTCCCCGCTGAACAGGAGGCAACTCATGAGACACCACTCCTTTTTTAAGGTGGTACTAGCCCATATTCTTGATGTGTGGTGATGATTTATGTTAAGGCTGTTTTGAGTAAGATTGATTTTACTTAAGGTGATATAAGTTGTTGTTTTAAAGTGTCCGACCCATTCAGTTATTTAAGGAAAGGCTCATTTAAGGTGGTATCTATAAAGTGTTGGACCTTTTTAAAGGTGGTATGTTTGAGTTAATCAAGCGGTTGTGTTTGTTTGTTTTGTGTGCAGTTTTACGGGAATCAGTCTGGCAGAGGTGGAACTGACAGGACGCATTCTGGGAATCCTGTGGGCGCTTTGTCAGCCAGACAGAGGTGAGTGCAGCACCCTCTGCAGTCTAAATAGTTTATTACACTTTCCATGAAATGTTAAAAGTAACCAGGTCATTTCCTTGCAGGACACCGTGTAAGCAGCTCTTAGGAAACTTCAAGACACAGCAGGTACTCAAGAGCCCCATCGGGGGCGGAGCTTCAGACGCCAATCAAAGAGCAGCAGGCAGCTGGAGCTGCCAATCACAAGCAGGACAGAGAGAAGTGACCTCAAGCTGTTTGTCAAACAGGTGAGTTTTTCTTTTTGCACTCAATAATTTAACGAGCTGAAGCTGCACCAACATCCGCTTAAAATCATAGACTTCATACCAAAATCTTTTTAAAACTAATTTTATTGTTTGTTTTTTGGGGGGTTTTAATACAAGTTTTAGGCTCCTCTGCATCTCTAATCATAACCATAATGTTTAGATTTACTAATGTTGACTTATTTGTTTGTACATGTCATTCATTTGAATTGAGAGTTTACAGTTTTTAAAAAATCTTCCGGTATTTAAATTTATAAGCATGATTTATTTTCTACTTAATTTTTAAAAAAAATTGGTAGTATTTTGTCACATTTCAAATATCTTTCATAAATTTAGTTTCACCCACTGTTTTGTTGTTTTAATGACATTTAATGCAGCGGTTTTACAGAGTTTATATTTTAATATGTCCTTTGTGGTGCAATATTTTAATAATATTTTTAGGTTTCTACTTAAATATTTCTTATTTATTTATTTACAACCTAATGTGTTTAGGGAGCATTTCTAAAGATTTGTAGTTATTTTTTTATTAGTTATAATATTACAATAAATATTATTAGAATATTATTAATCATGTCCTTATTATTAGTTGGAAAGTTACTTTTTATTTTCTCTAAAATTTTTGTAAATTTGTTTCATGCTACTTACTATTAAATGTTTCAATATTTCTTTACACGTATTGACAGGCTTTAGATTTTTTTATACTTTAATTCAATGATATTTCATTGGAATTATTTTGTTATTAACTATAATTGTAAAAAAGAAGTTTCTGATATACTTTTAAGTCTTTCATTAGTGACGCAGGCTGCGAGATAATTTAAATAATCTCACTGAGTGTCTCTGTTTTCTCCACCAGATGGCGTCCTAAGAGAGCATCTGACCGGCTGCTGCAGCCTGAGGTGGCTTTAGAGCACCTGTCTCCACCTCAGAAGAAGAAAGAGCTGTCAGGTTAGCTTTTCACAGGTAGAGAGAGGACTGTCTGAGATTTATTGATCAACGTGATTGATCGTCATTTCTTCTGCAGCTTTGGTCAATAAAAGGATCTCAGTGGACTCTGTGGACTCTCTGGCTGAGTTCAGAGGTGACGAGCATCTTGGGAGTTTGAGTTCTTCTACACTGGGAGACAAAAGGTGGAGGAGAGTTGAGTCTAATGGAGACACTTCTGAGAAGGTAAAGGTCAAAGGTTGCTGCACTTTCACAGTGAAAGTCACAAAAAGTAAAGTCATGAAACTTAAGTGAGGGGAGTTGCAATATTTTCGCAATAAAATCATCAAAGGTTTTTCAGAAAAATAAGGTTTGCAGAGTAGGCAGTATTTTCACAATAAAATTGTTTAGGATTAAACAGGTACACCTGAGATGCAGGAAAAAGTTGCAGAGAATAAAAAAGGTTTTATTGTGAATGTTTTGTAAACTTTAAATTTCCTGTTACAAACTGGATCTTCACCTTCGGTCTGATTGTTTCAGAGCGACACAGGAACTCCTCCCAAATCTCCTTTGAAACAACAGACAAAGAACTCTTCTATCTCCAGATTGAATCAAACTTCACCCTCAGGCCCACAAAGGCCTGAGGGTCACGATAAGACCATCTCCATGGTCTTATCGTCGTCGACGACGCCAGTAAGGAGGGTGCGACTTGCCTTCACCAGCAACCTGAAGGTCAACGACAGGGAGAAGGAGAGAGAGAGGTGGAGGCAGTTCAAAGAGAAGACTAAGAACAACAGGTCAGCTGTCCTCCACCGTCGACTGAGGACACCCAAACCGAAGCTGAGCCAACCAACTGAGCCGAGTGAGTTTGATTTCCACCAATTATGTGATGGAGTCTAAGTATATGCTCCATGTTTAGTGAGCGAAATTCTAGGATGTAAATTGGCATTAATTGGAAAATCATGTTTATTTTTCAGCCCCACAGCTTGATGCTTATGGGGGAAAAGTGACAATGGTGACATGATTTGAAGGTTCTGATGTCGCTTGTTTGTTTCTTCCTTTAGTCGTGCTGTCCAGTGAGGAGGAGGAGGACTGTGAGGGAAATGGAGACGAAGCAAAGAGGACGTCACATAGCAGCAACCAGGTCGATGAATCTCGTCAGGGAAACTCTGAGAAGGTGCAGGTAGGTAAATAGAACAGAAACAGAGTTTCTTCTTTGGAAACTGAGGTTTGATGCTTTCTTGCAGAACTAATAAAGTAACTTTGTTTTATAACATGTTCGACAACAGCGGCTTCAAAATCACGTGGGCATCTTTAATAGTTATTCATGGTGTTCCTCAGGGCTCTGTTTTTGGTCCTCTGCATTTATTTTATAGCTCAAGGATGATTCAGTCTTTTTTTGTCCAGTCTTGGTTTGATTTTCTTTATTTTGTTTTCTTGTCGTTTAGCCCAGGTTTAGAGCATATTTAAGGCGTGGACTTTCAGGACAGAATAAAATGTTCTATCTATAAAGCTCAGAGCACATTGTTGTTTTAAGGTGTACAAATGCTGGTAAAGGCTGTTAAAATATGACATAAGTGTTGTCTTGTAAGAATGCAGGGCACTGAGGAACAAGGTGATTACCTCTGACTCGTGACATCTGCGATAATTAAACGTCTGTAAGTGAGAAATTAAGGCCGAAGGCTTCATGATAACCTCACCCAGAAGTCAGCCGGGTTGTTCCTCAGATAATCCGAAAAAAGCACAGGGGGGATCTCGCTGGCGGGACAAGCGGCGGTGGCGGCTGCTGCTGCTGCTTTATGAGAGTCACGTTTAAGAACAGCAGGCTTTCATTTCCACCTGCAGCTGCTCAGAAACAGGACGCTGCTTAATGTGGTGCACTCGGGTGACCCACAAATCCGGCATTTTAAAACCATCACTTCATCCACAACAAGCAGACGTTTCAGACTGCCTTTCCAAACAATGTGGTTCTGTTTATTAAGTTTAACAGCAGATGATTAAACCAGGATCCACTTTAACCAAAGAGCAGAGTCTGGGCTCTGCACGGGTCCTTAGAGGTGATGTTTATTAAACTCATGAAATTCAAAGGTATTAAAAGGATTTGGAGCGTGCAGTCAGTGCAGATGTGTTTGCATGCAGTCCATCAGAAACCCAGCATAGTGTTGTGACGTGATGATGGTGTTGGTAGAATGCTGAAAAGTGGGCTTGGACAGGAAAGAGAACAACAGCAGGGGTCAACAGGCAAAGGAACCAAAAACAGCCCAACGAGACAGAAGGCTACTGCAAGTGACCATTTTCATTGTTTTATCATTAGTGTGATTTGTTTTTTTGTTACTAAAACTGTATTAGACTAGTCAGTTACAGAGTGTTGGAAAGTCCTGCAAGGCTCAGCCAAGAACAGTCACAGTTACACGTGGCATCAAACCATCAGGTTTAGTAAAATGTAACATGGCCACCTTTAGGCTCATGAGCAAATAGAAACATTGGAAAGCGTAATGTATGAAGAATGAAAACCAAAATAGGAAGATCCACAGTGAAAATTAAACTAACAGAATCTGCAGTCCCTCCGTGGTTAGATGGACTCCATCATCTTGGACTTCATCTATGTCTCTTTTTCTTTGTCTCCTTTGACTTTGACAAAGACTTTGTCTTTGTCTTACTTAAGACATCTCTTTTTCAGTCTCCTTCTTTTTTCTCTCCTTTGTCCTGTAATCATCTTCTTCGTCTTGTCTGTCGTCTTCTTCACTATTATCTTATTCATTGTTTTCTTTGCAGTTGTCTTCATTGGCTTTTTTGTCTTCTCCTCTGTGGTCTTAAATCCAACCAGACCCTAGTCGATGAGCTGCTAAAGTGAGGGCTACCCACTGCACTCTGCACAGTCAGCAGATTATATTTAATTTGCAACAAGAATTCGATGAATAAAACATTTCCAGGAGACTATGAATGACCAAAGATCCATTACCGGTCCAGATCATCTTCCTCTGTCGACCGCTGCTTTTAGGGAGGCACCACATGTGATAATGCGAGTGTTTGATTTGGCAAAGATTTAATAATCTGTAGGAAAAACAGGAAACTTCACAATAATGACTCCGTGTGTGAAGAAGAGTTTGAGCACAGGAGGAAGAATTGATTACAGTTTATGTGTAAATAATCAGATGATGGAGTGTAGAATGGTGAATTCCCCTGATTTAAACTGTTCCTGATGCTGCAGAATAATAATCTCAGTGAGAATCAGATACCTGTGTGGTAATCAGTGCCAGCTGCTGCGGTCTCTCCTGTTAAGATGACCCAGTTTAGCTGCGGGGCGTCCGCGAGCTCTCGGTCGCATGCTTGAGGCCGCGGTGAGTCACCTCATTTGTTTGTGGCTCTGCCGGCCTGTAAATGCTCCTCTAAGCAGATCCAGATTGGACCTGAGTGTTTGTTGTTGTTTACAGACTGAACCTGATCCCAGCTGAGAGTCCACCATCTGCTGCACAAACAGTCGCTCGCCCGAGCGTCTGCGGCGCTTTTATTGTTTGCATTATTGTATTTTTACTGCTCTGTGTGTTAGTGGCTTTTTTCCACTCACACACATTGTACCTGTGGGCTCACTCTGTCCCTCTGCGCTGTCTAACAGGCTCCCAAACCAGTTCCTGTGACGCCACCGTCCTTCCTGCAGCTGGAGTTCGCCTCTCTTCACGCCGGCCTCACGGCTGCAGATGCTAATGGGCCGATTATGGTGAGACAGTTTGTCACAGCTTCACATAAACCTGTAAACCATAAACACGGAGACGCTCAGTGTGACGGGACACAGGAGCATCAGTGCTCTGTTATTTGTGATCTGAGGTGTGGCAGCTTTACTGAGTCACTGTTGTGGGGTCTCTCCTGCCCACAGACAGGAGTGTCACTAACAGCATGTTTACAGCTCCTCTTTCCCCTCACATGTTTATTTATGCTGATAGATAAAAAAAATTTCTACTCTTAGACCCTCTGCTCTGTTTTCTGACTGTCTGCAAGAACTGCAGGTGTTTTTGTTGGTGGAACAATGAAAATTTCAGATGTTAATTAAAATTAAAGGAAAATATGTGACTTTAGTCACATGATTGTAAATTTACAACTTTTTTCATTGTAAAAATTTCAAAATGTCATTTATTGCATTTTTGTCATAAATTTGCAACTTTTATCTAAGAGTGTCCAAGTGTTTTCCATCAAATCTACCTGTTTTTTTTTAAATACAATTTTTTTAATATCTAGATTTCCCATAAATTATGACTAAAATCTCAGAGAACACCTTTGCTTTGTGAATGTACACAATAAAATATTCCTTTTTAAAAAAAATTGATATGTTTACATTAACAGCTAAACTTTAGGTATTTTTACTCTGACCCTGTCTCCCAGCTCCAGATGTGCTGAACCCTTTAACATACTGTAATGTTTTGCTGCTGTGAAAATGTGACGTTTTTATATAGAAGGGTCTAAATGAAGGCACATAATGTTACAATAATGAAACACATTTATTGACTCTTTAAAATCGATACCTCACTGATCTACATTCACGTTTTTAATCTAATAATAATAATAATCCTAGTACCTTAAACTGGTCACACTGGAGTCAGCATCACGTGCCCAGCAGGAGCGCTCAGTCATATGATCACATGATCTTTCTCCACAGGTAGTCGTGGTTTTCCCTTGTTTAACCTGTTTGCTGAGGTCAATCTGCGGTGCGTTTGCTGCCAAGCAGTGGCTGTGGGACGTTCCAGTGTTTGTGTCCAGCTTCTGTGTTTTTGGGTTTAAAAAAAAAAGTTTAACCTTGTTCTTTTTTTTTTCCACATGCTAGTCCAACTTTCTGCTGCTTGCTCTGCACTTTTAATAATCCTACATCTTTTCCAGCATCTTTTATTTTCTTTAGTGTGTGAGGGTGGGATACAAATGCTGAAGCAAAGGTAAAACAAGAGCCAGAGCTCAGATGAGAAATCGCCGAACTCTGAGTTTACGAAGCGGCTTTGTTTGTTTCCCCCAAGGTCGTAAACATTTCCACCTGTAACGAGTGATTAAAGGTTCAGTTAGAGCACTGTTAAAAAGGAGGAGGTCAGGGGGTCAGTGGAGGGTCTGCTTCTGAATGTCGTCTGTTCAGCTCAAGTTAAATAAACTTTTAAAGTCATAAGCAGCATTTCTTTGTTGTCTAACAGTTTAATCTCTTTCTCTGTTTAGATCACTGAAAGCGGGATCATGATCCCCATGAAAGGTAACTTATCCACCCTCTGGTTCATGTTCTCCACCCACTGATTAGACAGAAACATTAACACTGACACATGCAGTCAGTCAGACTCTTTAATAGTTTTCCAAGTGTAATTTTTAGGTTTTTAGGGGTGCAACGATACACAAAATTCACGGTTCGGTTCGATACTTTGGTGTCACGGTTCGATATTTTTTCGATACAAAAAAATGTTCATGCCTTTTTAATTTGTCATTTATTAAAATTATAAATATATATTTTAACTCAAAAGTACAGTTTTTAAAT